CAAGTCACGGAAATGCGAGATGTCCTCCATCTTAATGTTTTGTGGGTTTTATTGCATTTTTGTTTAATTATATATTCTTATCATTTTGTCCACGGACACTGCCTAAATAGTGTCTCACGACCGTACCGTGTTAGATCTTGCTGTAGACAAGTATGCTTTGTGTCAGTAGGTCGTTGCGTATAAACTTCTTTGTTAATCTTGTGCTGAAGATATTATGTTCTGTCTTGGCTATGTTGCACACGGATACCGACTGACCTACCATGATTATATGGACGATATCTGTCCGTTAAAATAAAACTACTATTAGCAAAAAAAGCGTTATCATTTCAAAGAATTCTGTAATGACGTACAAAGTGAACGCGTTCCTTTCGATCGACGACTGCCAGTCTGAAGAAGTGGACAGCCCCAAACACACCGAATAATCGGATTGTTGACCGCTTAGTCATTCGAATCGATATTTTTGCCAGAACCTTTACTGATTTTCGCTTTATCTACATTGCCTCATTACTGGCATATTATTGCCGCATGATTCGATTTCGCACCCATTCATATACCAAGCGATTGCCTTTCAGCCACCAATTTTGTGATCAAATCTCTGTATAAGATATGCGGATCTAGTCGATACTACATGCGACCTCGAGGATGTTTGAAGGCACCAGAAGTAGATGGCCTGGATTAGTTTGCCGTACCTAGTTGAAGACACTACACCCTCCCTTGTGAAGTTGACAAAAATATCAGTCCAAACCGTAGTTTGAGGCAGTTTTAGATATCTGGCTACTTGTTAGATCTTCAATGTTTCGATTTTACCGCTGGTCTAAATTTATCGGTTATTCATCACAAGTCGTTTCGCGTTGACGCCATCTCAATCTGATTTCATCATAGGTCTGTCGAACGTAAGTGCTTTATTTATACACAGTACTGTGAAAAACGTGCGACTTCTAATGTTCGTGGTTGTTTCAACAATTTGGAGCTGTGTATGAATATTGGCCAAGTAAAATGTGTGTGGCGTCCATCTCATTTTACGTGATTAGGACTCAGAAAATCGGAGCGCTTCTAACTGAGACTATTGACTGATCGCCCGAAAATGTACACCAGTAAATATCTTGTTGTTGTGGTGGGCTCTTGGAATAATTAGCACTTTCTTTTAAAAGGGGTGTTTAAAATAATGACTTTTCGAACCATTGTATTTGTAAATTATTTCAAACTACAAGAACTTGCTAGGAGAAGGTGTAGAAAGTTGTTTAAATTATTGTTTAGTAAACTCCCCCAACATCTTCGATGCTAATTCCTATTCTCTGATCGAGGTATTCGTGTGCTACTATCATTTTTAATGTACTCCTAAGATGTGATCTTCGAGCATACTTTTTTCTCAGTGTATGTATTGTAAATATCTGAGTAGGAACGACTGCCGACAAAAAATGTGAATAAAGTCTGTTTTGTGGGCCTTTGTTCTGATTGTAAATCGAGTATATCCATCAAAATCTAGCATTTCTTGTACCTTGAACTCTAGTTCTTCGTCTAGAGTTAGCCTTTTGTGGGGGCATTATCTCTACCAGCTAAGATAGGGAAGGTTTGAGTGAATAATGGTAACGTGTACTAATATGATCTAAGAGCAGAACCAAATAATGCCATTGTTTACTCCTTACAAAATGATGGCTGGATAGTTATACTGTATGGCAGATCATGGCCTACCAGAATTTCGGTCTCGTCCGTATCTCCTCCCTCTAAACCTGGCGTGTATTTTCAGCTCTTATTTTTGCTATTACTAATCCTGCCACCTACTTCTATTTTCAGAGTTTTTGACATCCCTAAAATAGTACATGAATTCCATATGGCGACTGGACTGCTACGGACATGTTGCCACAATCCAGTTGTTAGAGGCTCTGTACGAGTGATATAACTTTGTCGGTTTTTGCAATACTTTAGGGATTAGACGAAAAGGCGGGTGTCGGAGTGAGACTCCTCACCGACCTCATCCGTGAACGATTAAAAATCCCCTGCGCAGTTCTTATGGGAGCCAACTTGGCAGGTGAAGTCGCTAAAGAAATGTTCTGCGAAGCAACTGTAGCCTCCTTGGACCTAGTACGGGGCAGGGAATTGAAAGCTCTATTCGAGGTAATTTATCTCATGCTTGCGCTTTCTTCTAACTCGGCATTTAGATTATATTTCTTTGGTTCATTAATATTATGCAAATTTTAGAGTTAGCAATGCTTCTTCCCATGCCCTCTTGTATTTGAAAATGGCCTTTTCCACTCATGTTCCAGCATTTTCAGTCTTAAAACCGTTGTGCAGCTCACTGGTTTCCCTTGTCAACTTGTCCTCTTTGAGGCTCAGGCCACCGAGACTTGCCTTTAACATTCTTTGGAGACTGGTGACTTAAGCAGCTTTTCTGTTTGTTTGTTAGAGTCCCAAAAGACTCGGTTTGTAATACTTGATGTTGTAATAAATTGTCTTAATCAGCCGATGCGTTGACATACTAGGAAAACGCATTTAAACCGTACAAACAACAAATTAAATTTACTGAACTATCAATGTGTAGTCGCTATCAATGGTTAACTCATCGTAAAATGGCGCTCATCTTTTGAACCTTTGACGATGTGCTTCTATATGAAAGATGCGGCTTATTTGGAAATGAGTCATCGGACAATCGTGCAACCAAGTCATCATCTTCATCAAGTTGGTTCTTAAAGTTGGTGAATAGTGGTAATTAAGATGCAATGAAACTGCCACTGGTCGAAAATCAAGTCTAGACTCTATCCATGCGTGAGTTTTTGGTATGGTAAAAGGTTAGCCACGAACTTCGACAGATGCCTGAGACACATTACTGCACACTGCTCTATTAGCCGTGATGACCTCTCAGATAGAGGTCAACTGCAAGAAATCAGCAATATTCTCAAGGCCTTTTCTATCAGCCTCATTCTAATCGTAGCTTACTAATGGTCTTGACAAATTGTGTTTCTGGAACACTACCTCTGGGAAAAATGTTTCGGCTTTCTGCAAGGGCAACTACTTAGAAATTCCCTCCACCTTTGTTTGGCCAATCATTTAGACAAAGCGGCTCCATTAAATGACGTTCCGACCACGCAGAGCTTTTCATCTTCGTAGTTTCTACATATCAAACATGAGGTGGACCACATAAATGGGTTGATTCAATTGTGCGATCAGATTCTGCTTACTCTTCCATTTATCAGTCACCAATTCCCTGTCCCTGATGTCATCTTCAGATGTCAGTTACTTCACAAATTCCCAGTACCTGTAGTCGTTCTCCCTCTCAGTTGAGCAATATTCATTGCACTGAATTCACCCCTTCTCTGTCCTACTAGTCACTCTAAGTTCGATTATCTCAGTTTGTGACACCCTGAAGAATTTGGCATCCTGAACCCTACTAGTGGCTAACAATAGCTGGCTTGCCTTTCTTATGCCGAACCCACTAAGTAATCCCGAAGGTCAGAAGAATGGCACGACGGTTTTGACTATTGACCTGTATCCACTTCGATAAGGTATTAAACTATTGTATTACGTTTGACCTCACTAGACCCATTTACTACCGTAATCGAAGAAATTCTAGAGAAAACTGACACTTCTTGTCAAAATAAAAACTTCAAAAACACATAAACACGTGTACCGTTGAGCTTCAAATCTACTGTTTTTAGATAATTTGCTTGTTTAAACGACCAAAAATGCGCAATAAGGGTCTTAAAATATGCAGTATAATTTAACCTTCATGAACAGGCTGAGCAACGTGAATTCGATAATCCTTCGCTCTTATACTTATGGCTACAGCAGCAGAAGTTTGCGAATAAACTTCGATGTTGATGGGCCAACTGTTCGTACAACCGAATCCCCACAGGCATACTGGGTGTGAAAGCATCAGAATTTACGTACTGAGGCCACATTTTCCCCTAAACTACAGTAAAACTGGGTTGAATGGTTAGCCTCCGTGGACATTTGAAGCGTTGGGTCCACAAGCAATTACTGAACTTCTGTCTGGTCTAATTGTGGGGCTAATTCTTGTTAACATTGACGTACTAGACGTCTCTACTTCCTTATTTTTCTCGCAGCCGAAGCTACGATATCGCAAAAAATCTGCTTTTTCAAAACGATTTAATTTACTCCATTTAAAGGAACTAAAGTGACAAAAAATTCACTTCTGTCATGGGAATTGAAGCCTGGCGGTATCAACAATGGCTAAAAGATACATTGCCTCCCGTCTGTACCGACCAGGCCTATCCTACCTTGACCCACTGACCGTTAATCCGTGGGCAACCTGTATAGTACACATGTCCCCGCGTGGACCGATGTTTTCCGCCTTACGGCGTCCTCTCACGCGCAAAGGACCAAAATCATTATTAAGGTCACCACACCCACATGTTTTGGTCGGATGACCAATAGGAGGTTTGACGTTTGGCGGGGTGGCACATGTTTGCCGATCCCATTTGACTGCCTCCTTTATTGAACACTTCGGAGGACTATGTGGCTTTAAAGATATATAAACTCTCAGGAAGTCAAGTTAGTCGATCGAGCGTTTTCCATTATTCATTATCAGGCAAATACAATAATATAAGGGAGTATCTAATGGTAGCATACATCTCCAGGGCGCCTATTCCGTCGCGAGA